GAGGAGGACTCTGTCCTTCTGTCGTCGATCCCGACCCGTACATCCCTGAATCCAGCGCCTGAGTCCAGCTCCTGCCTCCCATCCCTGTCTGCTGCCCAGTCCAGCCTGGGACTGCCCCAGTGCCAGCCCTGCAGCGTGGTGGGGACGTGTTGTCATCAGGGTGGGGGGAGCTGGGTTCGGTGTTGGTGTTGTGTCTATTTGTGCGTATTGTAGAGATTTCATTGTTTCCTTATTATTATCTTTTATTGCTATTGTTTCATTAAAGCTCTTTTAGTTTTCTTTCCCAAACTGTAAAGTCTCTCTCCCTTGTTCTCTCTCCTTTTCCTCTTTTGGGAGGGGAGAGGGGTTAGTAGAGAGCGTCTGTCACTTGTTAGTGGCCGGGCCAGCCTCAGCCCCCGAAACCTTCAGGGTGTTGCTGCAGGGCTGAATGATCAGAATGCCCAGCTCCTCCCGTCCTGCCGTGTGTCCCTTGTTGCTAAATAAGGTCTGTTCTTGTGTTTCAGGTACCTCTGTGACTTCACCTACTACACTTCCTTGTACCAGAGCCGCGGGAGGTCGGCTTTTGTTCATGTGCCTCCGCTGGGGAAGCCGTACACCGCCGAACAGCTGGGTCGGGCACTACAGGCTATAATAGAAGAAATGCTCGATGTTTTGGAGCATTCTGAAGACAAAATCAATTGTCAGCATGAACACTGAAAGTGAGCAGAAGCTATCCTAGTATTGCACTTCCGAAATTTTCCCCTGCTACTGAAGTACTGGGGAAAACGGTCTGAAACGTCCAGGCCCAGAATTGGAGACTTCACAAAGGAAAATTCCACTTCTCGAAATTGACGTTTTTTTTTGGTCAAATGTCTGCATTTCAGCCTAGGCAACACAGGATTCAAAAATCTCTTCTTTAAAACACCTGCAACTCGTTTCTGAAGTGACTGAAGTGTGTGTGCTGTGCTTTACCCAGAGCTTACCTGTCAGCCAAGTGAGAGCTGCTGACCAGTCTAATCCGGCGCAGATGGAAAGTTTCTCGTCTGGACTTGGCGTTCAGGTGCAGGGAGTTGATAACCCGTGACTAGTTGTTAAGTTGGAAGGTTTGCTTTCGGTTTGTTTCGGGTTTTTTTTTTTTCCCCCCCCCTCTTTGGCCCAAATTATAGGTTATAATGTCAAAGTAAAACTGAAAAGAGTTGGACTGGCGTGGGCTTGTCTGTTGTAAAACAACGCTTGGTGGAGGCGAGGCGTCTTCGAAACTGCTTTGCCGGAATGGGGAGATATTTTAGGCACTGATTTCTCACCCCACCTCGTCCAAATGCGCGGAGGGTCCTCTGTGACGTGCTGGTTAACTGGTAGCTGCAGATAGAAGGGGTGTGTTTTGGGTTCCTTTTGTTGTGGAGCAGCAAATAGCTTTTTTTTTGTTGTTCTCTGTGTGTACCCAGTAGGAGCCGAACTTGCACCAAATATTTCCCGATGTCTTTTTTTTATTACGCTCTCGATGCCACCTTCCTCACTCGAGCCAACCATATACCTCCTGTACAAAACACAGTGTTGCGTACGTGTATAAAACAAATCATTAGCGGTTAAATAGCTTTGCTAAAGGCCACTTTCTCCGCAGGAGATCTTTATCCTAGACTTTTGGTGCTAGCTGTTATTTTTAAGGTGAAGGCTGAGTAATTTATAACTTCCTTAGTTCTAAATTTTCCTTCTTGTTAAAGGTTAGAAGAGTAATGTTTAACTTAAATCCTAAGTTGCCACCTTGATTTATTACAGGCATCAATATGCAAACGTGCGGATTCGAAGACGTTCTGCCAAATCCAATCTAAAATCTCACACCTATTCCCGCTGCCTGTAAACCAGAGGCAATTATTTGAAAACTAGGAATTTTGCTTAGAATGAGTATTCCGGGTTGTTTTTAGTGTCCCCCTCCCAATGGGAGGGTACAAAGGGCTGCTTCTGGTGTGAACCTTCCCAGTAATTAATCTGGGGAGGTGTACACGCAGGTTCTCAGCAGGGCTTTCAGGGTGGTTGATGCCAGTGGTGTGCGTAGCTCCGCTGACAAATGACTAAGACTCCAGCGCAAGACGGATGATGTTACAGTGGGGACAGACCCAAACTGGGAATTGGTGACCGGTAGGTCTCATTGGAATGAAGAGATCTGTGATTTGATTCCAAGACTTTTACAAATATATATATATATATATATATAAACCCAACACTTTTGAACTGTTTTAAAATACCATTATTTTAATTTTTCTGGCGATGAATGATTCTGCTATAGTATCTCTCAGTGAGAGCTGCCGTTAACGTGCTGTTTTCCAGTAGAAGCCTCGTGACAAAGGAAATACCACCTGTAACCCTCGAGAGAGAGAGGACAAAGGCTTCTGCAGTCGTAGTAACTTTGCTGAGGGGGCCTGTGTAGGAAGGTGTTGGCGTAGGCTGCTGGTTTACCAAGGAAATTACCGCTGTAGTTGCTATACAGGCTTTCCTGATCAAAAGAGTTGGCCTTCAAAGTAAATAATTCTTTTTTTTTTTTTTTTTGCATTCAAAATACGAAGTAGCACTTGTCAGATTGTCAGCAGGCAGGCAGACTTTCTGATTAGTAATTTATTATATTTAATGTTTTGTTTAAATATTCGTGGTTTGACACGTTTTGTTTTTTTTTGCAAATAGTCGAGCGACTTACCTTGTAGGTTTATTCCTTTATCTGGTAAGAAGTTTTTGTCATCAGCGTGTCTTAGCTGCTAAACTTCAAAAAGAGGAGTAATTCACCTGCCCCGCTAAGCTCAGCGATTGATTTCGGTAATTTTCAGTAACGCCATTTCATTGACGTGTGACGTAGCTGTGACTCGAAGGGGAGATCAACAGTTTAGCGAGGCGGGGACAAACGAAGGGCCGGCTGGGGCAGCGGTGCCCGCGGGGG